TGGATACAAGCCGAGGAAATATCGAGCGGGAGCGCAGTTGTTTGCACCTAAGGCAGGGGAAGAGGGGACGGATAGAAGGAAGGGACACGGGGAAGAGAGGAGGATGGAGCACGAGAGAGAGTAGCAGGAGGGGGGCGATGAGCAGAAACCAGGTGACAGAACCAGACGGGCAGATCGGGCGGGTAGACCCTAACAGGCTGGCCCAGGCGGCCAGGTCGAGCAGGCGGGTTGCTGAAGCGTGCGTCATGCATGAATCGCAAGGACACCTTGAGCGACACCGCGATTTCAAAAAACCTCGTGAGGAAATCCAAGGCGAGAGCGTCACTCCTGAGTGTCGAGGGCGCGGCGCCTGAATCTAGTGCGAGGAAGTCCGAAGCGACAGAGCGATCCCTGAGTGTCGAAAGCGCGACGCCTGAATACGTTGCGAGTAAATGTCAGGAAAGACTGCGATACTTTGGTGCATTGTAAGAAAGTCCCTAGCGAGAGCGCGATTCTTCAATAAATTGCAAGGGCGTATCAGGTGGGAGCAGTTGTTGTTGTTGTAAACTGAGGGCCAGGGGCACAGTCTGAGCAGGAAGATCTTCCCCAGTACAACACAGCGATCCCTGGGAGAAGCACACCTCAATTGAAAAAAACACGCATGTTACGCGAATGCGCGAATCCGAATAACTCGCCCGGAACTCTCGGGCGAGAGCGCGATTCCTAAATGGCGAGAGCGTGGCGCCTCAATAAAGTGCGAGGAAGTCACAGGCGACGCGATTCCTCCGTGAATTGCGAGGAAGTCTGAGGCGGGAGCCGTTGTTGGAGTCCGTGGGCCAGGGGTGCAGTGTAAGGAAGAATACCTTCATTTATAAAAAAGGGTGCGAGTCCCAGGAGGGGCACCCCAATTGAAAAAACACATATGTTACCAGAGAGGGGGAATCAACAATGATCAGTCTTCAGTAATGAAGCTCAACAACAAAACCAAAAACAACAATCAGTATACCCTCATGCGCGATGCTTCCACACGCAGCATGCGACCATCACGATAACCATCCCCATCATGGGGGATGACTGTTCTATCGCGGGGGTCCGTTAGTCCCATTCCCAGATCTCCCGCCCAATGAGGTCTTGCGAACACCTCCTCCGAGGAAATTCAACATATCCCGCCTCGAAAACACATGCCCGCACCCTGCTGCGCTGATGCGAGACCGCCAGTGGAACCCCAGCCAAGGGTAAAACACGAGGAAGTATCGAGCGATAGGATTGGCTTGGTGGGGATGGGGGCTGTCGGCGGCGAGGCAAGGACCTGGCCCTGAATAGAAAGGGAGGATGTCCCGAGCACCCCCGTTGTTGCTGGGAGCGGCGCCAATGCAGAAGAGAGTAGGGCGCTAGTCCAGCGTGAACCAACACGAAGTCTCGAGAGGGAGCGCTGGTTCTGTTGGGACGACGGTGTCGGCGCAAGGAACACCGCCTTGAGCAAGAAAGGAAAAAGTCTCAAGCGGGAGCCGCGGTTTGTTGGGACGGGGGCTGTCGGCGGCGAAGAACAGCACCGTCTCCTGGAAAAAGGAAGGACGTCTCGAGCGGGAGCGTTGTTCTTGCTGGGGGCGGCGCCAATTCAACAAAATAAATTGGGCGCCAGTCCAGCGTATAACGGGAGGACGTCTCGGGTGGGAGCGCTGGTTATGTTGGGGCGGCTGTTTCCGGCGGCGAGCAAAAGCACCGACTCTGAGTAAAAAAAGGAAGTCTCGAGCGGGAGCGTTGTTCTTGCTGGGGGCGGCGCCGATGAGAGAAAGAGTAGCGCGCCAGTCCAAGGTAAAACTGGATTGGATTCCAACGTGGGTTTGTTAGTATAGAGAGGGTCATGACACAAACGTTGCAACACATATTCTGCGTATCTGTGCATCTGCGGTCTGGCAAATCGGGGCGGCATCATCGCGACGCCATGGGGCGTCGCGGACTCGAACCTTTGGCCTTGAAGCACGAAGCGCACGATTACCCATATCATGAAGTTCTGCAACAAGTCACTGTGTTCTGGGGGCGCACGGACACGCAAAACACTGTTCAGCTAATCGTTAGCTGGCGCCCGCCTCGAACTCATGCCCCACCCCCCGCCTCTTCCAAATATCCTTTCGCTGTGGCCCCACCCTCCTCATGCCCCTCCGAACGCCCCGGTCCTCATCGTGCCCTTCATCCACATTGCTCACCCCCCATGTGCCAATTCACGTCGTTCCTCGTCGTCTTCCTGCGCCGGATTCGTTCCCCCATCGTCCACATGCCTGCCCTCCTCCCATCCTCTACGCCCTAGTGCACATCATGCCCCCAACTTCTGCCTCCCCCACCTCCTTCGCCCTCGCGATGCTGACACCGATGATCCACATCCTCCTGGGCTCATTTCTTCCGCTCTCGTCCAGTCCCGTTCATCCTTGGCCCCTCGGCCACCCCTCCTATCGAACCCCTTCCTTCCCACAGCCCACCATCTCCACCCCCCCCGCGCCTTTGCATGCCCAGACCACGGCCCCCTCCTGGACCAGCCGGGAGACCCGCGGAAACTCCCGCCCAGAGACCACTCCAGCGAACGGAGCGCAACAAATGCACAGTTGGAGACACGAACTGTGTATTTCGACCGCGCACGACGCCCCCCTGGACCAGCCGGAAGAGAAACGCGAAAATTCCCGCCCATTCAACACCACCCGCGAGGGACACACTCCAAATACACAGATGGGAACGAGATCTGTCTACACAGATCACACCACGATCTGTGTAAACAGTCGGCCCACACACGAAAATACACAGTTGAAGACACAAACTGTGTACACAGATCACACCTTGATCTGTGTATTTCGAAAAGGTAAACGCTCGCCACCTTGAGGGCGCCCCGACTTTGCCAGCCCAGAACCGAGGTTGACATGCCCAGCTGGGGGGGGACTGCAAATACACACTTCCCCGGCCCAGGGCGCCCCGGAGAGAACCGCAAATACACGCTTCCCTGGCCCAGGGCGGCCGCGGTGTAACGCGGCGCCAAAGCGGCCCCCAACGGCCCGAAGACGCCCCAAAAGGCCTCGAAGGACCCCAAAGAATGCCGCGCGGCAGTCCGAAAACACGAGAGATGTCACATGTCATGGACCTCTTAACAGTCAAAGCTCCACGCGTCGCCATATAGACCACTGCTCTGGCAGGGGGGCGGACCTTGCCGCAGGCACCTATAATTTACATGTTAGCGATGCGACTGTGCTCGGCGGCCGTGCCGCCCGAATTTTGGGTGCGCCCCGAAATCTCGCATTGGCAATCCCCTCTGTTTGGTTGCGCCGCTGTGCGCGGATACCGGAAAAGCATTTACCGCTGACGCGGGCACGCGGCACCAGGGACTTCACTTTTCGAACAAGGAGGGTGGACGAGGTAGGACGACGGACGGTGGAGCAAGGAGGCAAAGAGGAACGAGGAATAATAAGGGAGGTGGGAAGGGGCGCTCCCCCGCCCGAGCCGCGGACGCTTTCGACACCATCCAGGGGAGGGAAGAAAGGAAGGGGAACGGAGCAAGGGCGAGGACGACGACGGGAAGCAAAGTGTCCCGGGTCCGCATATAGCCATATGTCTGCGATTCGGGTGCGCGCGCTTTCTTCGAGGCACTTCAAGCCCGACCCATGCTGAATTCACTAATTCCTTAAAACTGTGTAAACACTGTGTCCTCTGTTCCCTCTCCTATACAACGGCCTCATAACAGAGGGGCAGTGGATTCCAAAAACTGGAAGAAGTCTCGAGCGGGAGCGTTGGTTTTGTTGGGGCGGCGGTTTTCGGTGGCGAGCAAGAGCAGCGGCTCTGGGCAAATAAAGAAAGTCTCGAGCGGGAGCGTTTGTTAGGGAGCTGGTTTTGGCGCCCCCAAAAACCGCTCGAGCGTGAGCCTTATTTTCAATGAAAATGCAGCCGGCGCCGAGGCGAGAGCGCCAGGGTGTCTGGGGGGGTCCAACAATAATAACTGCTTAATAGTTAACATTCAACGACAACAACAACAACAGCAACAACAACAACAACAACAACAACAACAACGTCATCAACAAAAACAACACTCAGTTTAAGACTGTTCGCTCTTACCTGCTCGCGTGCCATTCAAACCATATCCTAAACCCTCGGTACCCGCCCTCTTTGTCTTCGATCGTACCGCCCTGGAGGTATATCATCCTTTCCTGCCGCGTGTAATTGGTGCAGCCCCTGAAACAGGGAAAGAAAGGACGGATGAAAGGGGGAGGGAGAGGGATGGAGCACGGGATTAGCAGGAGGGGTGCTAGGAGCAGAAAACACATGGCAGAACCAGGCCGGCCCATCGGGTGGGTAGAGCCTAACGGGCGGGTCGGGAAGGCGGGCCCAAGCGGCCAGGTCAAGCAGGCGCGTTGCTGAAGCGTAAATTATTTCATGAATCGCGAGGAGAACTCGAGCGACAGCGCGATTCCAAAGTTCGTGAGAAAGGCCAAAGCGAGAGCGCGATTCCTGAGTGTCGAGGGCGCGGCGTCTGAATCAATTGCGAGGAAGTCCCACGCGAGAGCGCGATTCCTGCAAAACTTGTGAGGGAGTCCCACGCGAGGGCGAGATTTCGGAATACATTGTGAGGAAGTATCAGGCGGGAGCCGTTGTTACTGTAACTCGGCGGCGCAGCTTCGTGATCCCTCGCATGCCCTGGTGAGCGAGCCCCGGAAGGAGCACTTCAATGGAAAATTGAAAAAAAACACCATGTGCCCCGGAGGAGGGGATCGACAACAATATTCTTTAGAAATGAGAAGTCAACAAGAACGACAACAATAACAACAGCAACAACAATAACAACAACAGCAACAACAACAGCAGCAACTGCAACAACAACAAGAACAACACCAACACGAACACTAACAGCAGCAGAAGCAACAAGATCATCACCATCAAAATCAACACCAACATCAACATCCCTCCTCCTCCACCTCCACGTCCCTCCTGTCCTCCCTCTCGACGCAGCGGGCCCCGAGGAGCGCGCGTGGGGACAAAGGCGGCTCCTGCGGTCAATGATGACGAGTTCCGAGATCCGGGGGGCGCCGGCGACCTACGAATACACACATACATACATGAATGAATAGGAGAACGAGGATGACCTCCTGGATCTCCTCCTCCTTTACGCCTCCCCCAACCCCACTCCAACCCCTCCTCCCCAGCTCCTCTCTCTTCCTCCCCCGCGCGCGCGCCCTCCCACGCGCGGGGGAGGAGGAAGGACGGGAGGAGAGGGGAGGAAGGCGGGGCGATACGGCGAGAAGTGGTATGTCGAATGGCTGCTCACCAAGTTCGGACAGATTAAGCTGGCCAACCCAGATGCACCCCATGCAACCCTGAGACGTGCTGAGCCGTGTCTTGTTGGTGTCTGGCGTAGACGGACAGTTCCAACGACAGTAGGAGAAGACGTAGACAACCCTTCACGCTGTATCGCACGTCTCGCTGTCGCAGGACAGCCGTCTCACACACGGAAGAAATCATAGCGGCTGGGGGATATACGGCAAGGTTGCTGCCCACGATGCCTCCGCCCACGATGCCTGATGCCCACGATGTCTCCGCCCCGCGATCGTCTCGCCCCCCCCCCTCCCTGTTTCTCTTGTTCTCATCCTCCTGCTCCTCCTCCTCCTCCTCGTCCGCCTGGCCCTCATCCTCCTCATCGTCGTCCTCCTCATCCTCCTCCTCATCATCATCCTCCTCGTCTTCTCATTATTATCACTAGTACTACAATTCGTCTTATGATTTATTCGTATCAATCTTAATGGTGGACATCTTGTTCGCCTTCGATTTAGTATTCCTCCTCCTCCGCATTCAGAACGGAATGTTGATGATCCGCTCGAGGTGTACAGCGATTGTGCAGGCGTGGTGGAGTGTGTGTGTGTGTGTGCAAGATGCAGGGGCTGCCCTATCACTTAGTAATCCGAGACATCACTTCTGGATGGCCTGATGGGCTGGCATAGGCCCGAAGGCCAAAGTCTGTAAAGTCAAGTCCCACCAGTCCGAACGAGATGCCCGTAGTGATCACAGTGTTTCGCTGATGAGAAGCAACTACGGTGCAGATAAATTCGACACACAAGGGGCGAGGCTCTGGGATATCCCTCCGCATTGGCCCTGGTTTGTCTCTGGCTGGAAAAAAATTGGCAAGGATTGTGTTTTGTGGCATGGTCGTACTCGGGCCGCTGTCGGGTCCCTGGACCAACGTGGCTGTCATGGAGACGCTGGTACAGCTGGTATTGAATTCTAGCATGAGTTTTCGCAAGCGCTTGTGACTGCTTGCCAGGAAGCGGGGGTACCTCCGTCTGAGGGGAGTCTCAAAGCCGTGGGGGGCTATGGATCCTCCTCCCCCGCCTTCCCCGCCTCCTCCTCATCCTGATCCCAGCGACTTTCTGCAGTCCTCTGGGGACCCTTGGGAGCACCGCGACCAATTCATTGTCCAGGCCGACGTCCAGGCTGAAAGTGGGGAACGCTGCAGGATAGTTGTTGTTGTAAGGTGTGTGGGACCTCGGCGCATCAGCATGCACGTGAAGGGGCTCCTTTTCCAATTGTGAAGGGACCACCAATGCTGGGTACAAGACTCGGTGTTCTCATCTGAGGCGTGGCCTGTCTCCAGGACACAGTCTGGGCAAGACCCGCGTGCCTGCTGTGGTGGTCCGTGGTGGGCCCGCGGGCCCTAACAGCGAACCTGTCGAGGTTCCTGGCGAAACGGGTCCTCCCACGCTGGCCACCTCGGCGATAGCGTCGATTCCCACGCTGACTATTCAGCAGAGCGCCAAGCGCTGTGCTGGCTCCCGAGAGGCAGGCGCTGGCTGCTTGGGACCATGACCGGCGCCCCAAAGAAACCCCGTATCATCAGTACCCTCAGTATCCTCCTCCTCCTCCTCCCTCATCATCACCATCATCCGCATCATCATCATAGCATCATCATCACCATCATCATCATCATCATCATCATCAGCAGCAGCAGCAGCAGCATCAGCATCATCATCAGCAGCATCGTCATCATCATAATCCTCATCATCACCATCATCAGCAGCAGCATATCAGATGCATTATCATCATCGTCGTCGCCGTCGTCATCATCATCATCATCATCATCATCATCATCATCATAATCAGCATCATCGTCATAAGCAGCATCATCAGCAGCACCATCAGCGTCATCATCATCATCATCATCATCCACCATCCATCACCATGATAAGCATCGTCGTCATCATCAGCATCAGCATCAGCATCAGCATCATAATCATCAGCATCAGCATCATCAGCATCACCATCGCCATCATCATCATCAGCAGCATCATCACCATCATAACCGTCATCGCAATCGTCAGAATCAGCATCATTATCATCATCAGCAGCTGCATCATAATCATCATCAGTATAACCATCATCATCATCAACATCATCACCATTCTCAGCATCTGCATTATCAGCACCATCACCATCAATCATCATTGTCAGCATCATCATCATCAGCAGCAGCATCGTCATCATCATCGTAATCAGATTCCTCGTCGTAGTAAGCATAATCTTCATCATCAGCATCATCATCCGTATCATCATCATCATCATCATCATCATCATCATCATCAGCATCATCATCATCAGCAGCATCATCAGCATGATCATCTCCGATTCCTCATACATAACTTCTCCCTGTCGCAGCCCGAGGCCAGGTTTTAGGACGGATCGGGCGTTTCGCCTGAGACTTCCTCACCATTTACGACTCTGAAGCTCAAAAATTGGCAACATATTCACGGATGGAGGACGGGTCGTTTTAAAAATGTGGCTCTCGCCTTAGCGCGGCGCACATTCGTTTTAAACATTTGCGAGATTTTCACGGATTGAGGGCGGGTCGTTTTCAAAATGAGCCTCTCGCCGTATTGCGGCGCACATTCGTCTTGAACATATGCAAGAGTTTACGGATTGAGGGCGGGTCGTTTTCAACATGTTTCTCTCGCCTCAGCGCGGCGCACATTCTTTTAAGCAAGTTGCAAGAGTTTCACGGATTGAGGGCGAGTGGTTTTCAACATGTGGCTCTCGCCTCAGCGCCGCGCACATTCGTTATACAAATTCCAAAAGCTTCACGGCTTGAGGCAGGTTCCTTTTCAAAATGTGGCTCTCGCCTTAGCGCCGCGCACATTCGTTTCAAAACATTTGCAAGAACTGCACGGCGTCCCATCATCAACGTACCAGAAATGGCGTGTTGGAAGGATTCAGAATTATACGGGTGCAACAGTTACGTTGGTTCGCTATGTTGAAGTCCCAGGACTGGCGTTCTGGCACAATTCAGGATCCCAAAGACGCAACAAGCAGGTTGATCCGTGGTGTGGGAATCCCGAGACAAACGGTTTAGCATGCTTAGGGTCTTCACACGGGTGTATTCCAACGAGGCAGTTCCATCAATGGAAATGAAACGTTGTAGTGGCCTATGAAGAGGGAGCTTGGAGGAAGGATTTATTCCAACATCGTTGATGACTCGTGGGTTCGCACTGGTCATCGTCCTCATCCTCATCCTCATCCTCGTGCTCGTCAACATCATCATCGACATCATAGTTGCCATCAAAATCATGATCCTCGTCATCGTTAGCATCATGGGACTCATCGCCATCACCATCATCACTATTATCAGCATCAGCACAATCATCAGCATCGACATCACCAGCATTTCCAACATCAACATCATCGTCAGCATCATCGTACGCATCAGCAGCATCACCATCATCTCCCACTCATCAGCATGGGCATTAGCATCATCCGCATCGGCATCAACAAGAGCGTCATCATCAGCATCATCATCAGCAGCAACATCAACATCAACAGCATCATTGTCACCATCAAAACCGTCATCGACAACATCATCATTATCAGCATCGCCAGCAGCATCCTCAGCAAGAGCATGTTCAGTATCCCCATCACGATGAACCTCCTCATCGTCATCATCATCACCATTATCATCATCCGCATCAGCATCAGCATCATCAGCACGATCATGATCAGCATCATCATCATCATCGCAATCGCCATCATCAGCATCATCAGCGTCAACATCTGCACGTCATCATCATCATCATCATCATCATCATCAGCATCATCATCATCATCATCATCATCATCATCATCATCAT